CAATAGTGTCTTCACATCTTCGGGCGAGATATGTCAGTAACTTCGACAAAATCCACACCTGCTTCCTTAATACGACGCTATTGTCAGAACTATCGAGGTTTCCTTGAACTCTTACAAACTCTTGAAATAAGAATAATAATGAATGATAAAGGAATTTTCGAGCAAGCATAGCACAGCACTCACTTGAGAGATCGTGCTAATAAGTCGGGATTGTACGAAATACTAAATAAAAGGCCGCTGTTTGAGGGAATATGAAAAATTGAATCTCTTCCTCCAGCAAAGAAATATGTAGGTCAAGAAAGTACGGTAGCTAGAGCAGGAATTAGGAATTCAAAGAGAACTGAGGAAACAGTGTTGCCTGAGTACGAGGCTAACAGGCCAGTTTGATGGGAGTAGGGGAAAACTCATATCATACCTCCAATTTGAATGAAAAATGAGATAAATGGAATCGGCAGTGGTATTTGAAGTGGAAGGGTTCCTCCTCCGACCTCAACGCTTTTTTGATAAGGGAAAAAATATAAAGTAGATAATGTTACAGACCTGCTTTACTTTCCAACTACTGAAAAGTGGACCACCAAGCTCCGCAAGTATTCGTAAGTCAACAAAGAAATTGTAGGGACCACACTGAAAAAGTATTGTAATTCATATATATTTTCCATTTTTTTAACGTCAACTTTCTCAATGGAAGATTAGAGATCAGGGTCAAACACCGTGACAAAATATACCACTTGTCGTCCCTTTGTTCACTGAGGTAATCACGGGTGCCAATGACGTCCCCGTTAGTCCCTGCCGCTTGGTAAATTGTTCCAGTGGACCCTCCTCGCTCGAGGGACACGAAACTCTTCATTCCTTTCGTTCAGAGCTTTCGTGAAGAAGTCTGACCATCGGGCCGGCGGTCGTCCAGGTGTTCGTTTGACGTCCCGAGGGATCCAGTCGGTAACCGCTCTGGTCCAACGGTCATCGCAAAATCGCATGACGTGTCCGGCCCACCTTATCTTCGATTCCTTGGCGAAAACAGCGTCCCTGATCTTCGATCGTTGACTGTAGTACGGAACTCTGGGTTCTCCTCGAGAATCGCACCGCGCTATAGGCAACGCTAAACGCAAATCAGTCCCTGCAAAGTCTTTGGAACGCAGGTTAGGCAGGAAGAAGCAGAATCGAAAGAATAATCGCGGAACCGGCTGTTTTTCATCATTTTCATTCCTCGAGAGATGATTCCTCCTCCCGAGCCCGGTGGAGCCACTCTTTCCTTCAACCATGACTGAAAACCATAAAATTGCAGAAGAGCTCACAAAGGACCCTGAAGTAGTGAGTAGCCCTGGTTACTGAGAGCTCGATTACTGCTCCATTCTCCACAAAATCGAAAGCGAGTTCTTCAAGATGAATACATTATGTAGAGACATAGCTGCAAACTGCACTCGCGACCTCAACCGGGTTTTCTACCTGTGAATGTGCTCGTAATGACCGACCTCGATCGTAGTGAACCCTACGAAACCTTGCTTGCTCGTAAGGCAGTCCTTGATCCATGTGCTGTCAGTCCTGTTAGAATGACTCGAGAGAAACTCGGGGACTACAAACAGCAGGCAATAGTCACCAATATCGGTTCGAGCCAATAGTCAGGACTAGGTGCAAAGGTGTGAACCTGGCAAAGAGTGAAAAGAGGGTTCCCGAGTTGGAGCCGCGACCCAGAAGGTGTGCGGCAAGGGTACTAAGGCCTCGTCCTCTCCAGTGTCGTTACTACCACTCTACCAATCGCGACATACGTGTCGTTTGCGTCCTATTTGCGTACCACGTTCTTTGTCGCAGTTTCCTTCTCCCACAGCGCTTCTAGCCTTCCGGCATACCACGGCGATCTCACGAAGGACGAGGCCCAGTCCTCTTCTATCGTGGCTTCATTTCCAACACTCACGATTGCCTCATTGAACTTCTTAGTCGAATTCATATGACAAGATCAGAGAATCAACTCAAATCCTCCCGTGTCTTCAAGCTCATTCTTAGGGAGTTGCGTTTGGATTTCACGGAATGAAAACCTTTCATTTCTGCGGGATTGCGGGCTAAACAGTTGGCAACTAGTAATTTGATGGGAACGGGCAATCTTTGATGTACTGGTCTGACTCGGACCGAAACATCAAGACCTAGATCTATTGGAGAGATAGGACTCAGGATAAGACATAACGTTACACTTCAGACAAAACCCAACTCACTCGAACTTCGAAGTTCCTGTATGCTGTCTGACGACTCAAATCAACTGGTGAAAGCAGCTGAACGGTGCAGACCATGAGATTCAATGGTCCACTGCTAGCTGTATGCTTCTCCAATACTTTCTTGCCGGGCTCCCAAAGATCCCGCTTTCACCTGAAACACATCTTTTGACTACGTTTTCCACATACACAGTGTGAATAATGTAGCAGACTTTGAAAAATGTACCTCAATCGTTTCTTCTCCAATAGTCAAAACAAAATCTACCAAAATAGCATATTCCGCCGAATCTAACGGCTCTATCCGAAGGACAATTGTGTTCATTCCGGCAAGCTCTGTCACCTGAATGAAGGTTTTTGATCTACTTTGGTAATTGCATTTCCTAAAAAATCCTCATAATAGCTAACTTTCGAACTATACTGACAAGTGTTTCTATAGTGATGAGATATTACCTCGACTTCTACTGAAAGCATTTCGAAATTCCCCGTGGATTTCCGCTTCTTCGTACTTGTTCTCAGAACTGTTATATACTGATCCATTGCTGCAAAAAAAAACGTCCATAAATTTATGGATTCTGAATTAGATATGCATGGGAAACGTTGCCAATCCCTGAAGATGAGACACTGACAAAGAAAACCTCTTCATCGAACTGGATCAAATGACCAAATCATCTTTAGTACCCTTGAAGGCAGATGTAAGTTCGTAAGTGTGATTTACATAGCCAGAATATTCCGCAACTCCTGGGAGTTCAACTAGCGAGCGCTGTGACGCAGTCAGTTCGACCTCAATGTTGTGTACCCCATACTGTGTACCCGATCGTACATCATCTTGAGCTGCTTCTATGCTTATCACCCAATCGTACCTCTCCCAATGAGAAATCTTTCCAAAATTCTTTTCCCAAATCTTGTCAATAACCTCCTCGTCTGCACCTCTGTATGTACAGCGATACTGATTCTTGTTATCAACCAACCAGACCAGTAAATATCAAAAATAATAATACCAAGTGATTCTTATTCATAGAATGTTCCGATAATTGTAAATTTACTGCGTTCAAGATACGCATTTGCAAATCACATACACATTTTATGTACACTTCATACATGCACGAGGAATCGAGTGGTTACAATCTTATTTCACGTATAGTAAAATGTGTCAATAAAAGCAAGCAATAAAGAACGCTAAACAGAGGAACAATACTGAGCAGTCTACGAAAGAAATCCTCATCAAATCGGATAGAAATAGCCGAATAAAAGAGTCATGCACTGAAAATTGTACTCTTTGGCCTACATCGGATCATCGGCCACTATGGATTATTTTACAGCTCAATTCAAAACTTTTAAAATATGAACGCTTAGTAGTAACGACTTGGACAACAACTGAGTACGAAAAGCGAAAGCTCGCTTTCTATTTCGAAACATGAATCACCACCCGTTTTGGGGGTTAGAATTTAAACTCCGTTGAAGAAGCCTGCCCTTTGTCATCGCATCACTGGAAACACCACCGATCATCCTCCACTATCACATAGAAGATTATGAACATTTAGATCGGCTTTATACAGCAGCGTAGTTACGTACTTTTTGCGATACCTATCCAAGTAATCTACGGCTTCAATTAAAGTTCAGATCTAGATTTTTCTTATAATATCTATTTAAGCAAATC